TCACTCACTCACTCACTCACTCACTCACTCACTCACTCACTCACTCAGAGACAATTTAGAGTCACCAATCAGCCTAACATGCATGTTTTTGGTCTGTGTGAGGAAACTGGAGTACCTGGAGAAAACCCACACATGCACGGAGAGAACATGCAAACTCCACACAGAAGGTGCCAGCCGGGATTTGAACCGGTGACCTTCTCGCTGCGAAGCAACAGCTCTATCAACTGAGCCACCGTGCTGCCCATATAGAGGCACTGTATGTCCAAAATAAAACTTTATTACTTACCCATTTGTTGCATATACTGGAATAATATGTTTATATTTAGTTGGCAACATATACTGTACATGTGACAAGTGTTTTGATTTTGGCTGCATCTGATAATTAACCTATCGAGTCTCAACATGTAAAAAGATATAAGAAACAAGATGAAATACTTTGTGACAAACAGAAATAATGAGGATGGTTATAACCTGACTTCACAACAGACTGCACAGTTCCTGATCCAAGGTTTTCAGCTCAGGTTTCTGTTCTTTACAGAAATAATGAGCGTGAAATACGAGTTAATAACTCTCATCAGGTTTAATATTAACTTGTGACTTGTGTGTAATAAAAAGAGACGACCACTACAAGTCCACACTGCAGGTTCTAGAGCTCAGCTTAATTTTTAGCTTGGACCAGATGTGTTTGCAGGGTTCATGTTGTGATTTAAATGTGGCTGTCATCAGACTGCAGTGTGAACGCTTTACGACTCTGAAGCAACTCATAATAAGTTGTGATGTCATGCAGCACGCTGTGGTTACACAAGTAAATATGGACGCTGCACAGGTTGGCATGAGTGTATCGATTCTGAAGTTCATTCAGAGTCTGACCTGCTTGGTTAGTACCGTATTTTCCAATGTTTAAGTCACAGTTTTTTTTGCATAGACTTGTCAGTCCTGAGACTTATACATCAAAGCAAAGTATATACATTATTTTTTTCCGTATTCATAACACAATTTTTGACTGACGCTTTAAATTTTGAAGAACTGCAACAGCAAGTCCTCCTGTGCTTGCTCGCTTCACTCAGCTGGTGCAGGCGGAGGAACGCTGGAGAGTTAGTGGCTCTGGCTGCAATGGATGGATGGATGGATGGCACCGCACCAGGCAAAATGAAGCTGGTTTGAACATTAAATAAAAGCATAATTAATACGACTTGTACGCTGAAGCGACTTATATATGTTTTTTTTCCCTCTTCATGATGCATTTTTTGACTGACGTGACTTGTACTCTGGAAAATATGGTGGTTTACATTTAAATCTTCTCATTTCATGCTCACTCCGGCACAGAATATAACTCCTAGAACAGAAGAGACGTATTGAAGGCACGTAATGGATACATGTTAAAGAAGACCTAGTTCAGATTTACAATCACGGTGTGTCATCTTCTACTAGGTCATAATCAAATAGCCCTTACATATGCAGGTGGTACAGAAGTTATTTTTCCTGTCTGACAGATTTAGTAAAATATTTAAGTGTTTTGTTAGGAGCACAGGCAGCTCTTCATCCTGTGAGTGGACCTGGAGCGCAACAGGTTTGATATTTCTTACTTTGTGCTGGGCGTAGACCATGGTGCCATCGTAGCGACCTCTCTCAGACTGCAGATTTCCTATCCTGAGCTTCTGCACCAACATCCCGCCTGACGACACCGAGATCTGAACAGACAGAAACGGAACAATGATGGTGAGACGTTATGGTCAAATTTTAGCATCAGGCACTAACTGGTGTTGTGAATAAACTCAATTATTGATCAAATGCCCATCTAAAACATTCTAACTTAAAGTGGTCACACTCGAGTTTTGCCAGCCAACAACTCTTATCAGATCCTTTTCTGGTGCAATTAACTATCAAAATGTGTGTTTTTCAATCGGTCGACTGAAAGAAAAGGAAACATTTAGATTTATTAAACAAAGTTTGGTTTGTATTATAAACCCTGGCTGCGTTGTTTCTCAATGAACAAGATTCTGCTACAAGCTACCAAACCATCTGCAGATAAGATTTCAAACTGGATGTGAAGAGATGTTCTCAATATTTAAAGTTTTCTGAGAGGATGTGACAATAAAACATTTAAACCATCTCGGTCTAATAACTGGAGCGTCAGACTCACCACTCTGGGCTCTGGACTCTTTTCCAGTAAAGGAATGAGACTCTTGGTGAGAATGTAAACCCCTACAAAACAACACAAACCTTTTGTAACGGTTCCATCTTTATCTTAACGTTTTCACCGCACCTATTATTCATTTCCCTTACCGAGCACGTTGACAGCAAAGCTCTTCTCGAGTCCTTCAGCGTTCACGTCCCTCTGACTCATGATGGCTCCTGCATTATTGATCTGCACAGATTCAGATTTATGACATCACCATTCGCTGAGTCGTGCGAACAGTTTCTTCCTGAAGTATAACTGAAGACAACGGTGCCAGCACAGTCGTCAAACTTTCTTACGAGCACATTGAGGGTCTTAAATTTCTTCTTGAAGTTCTCAGCAAACTCCCAGACCTTCCTCGTCTCAGATAAGTCCAGGATGTGGACGTAGATCTCCTGAAACCACATCAGTCATTTATAGTCGTGAAAAGTATCACATCTGAGGATCAAGAGTGGAACGGAAGAAATCACCCCGTACTTTATTTCCTGTCTCCTTGACGATGTCCGCCCTCGCCTCCTCAGCCTTGTCCTTGTTCCTGCACACCATGTGGATCGTTCCTCCTGCGACAAGATCAAATCATTCAACCAGCTGTGCATAAACATCTGTACGAGTCTGAACACGACAGGAGAGAGCACTATTGAATATTTACAGTACATATTAAAGGGAGTTTGTGTGACATCGCTTCAGTGTGAGATAACTGTTGGCCTCTCAATAAAGTCATTTTTAAAACTGAAAAGCATAAAAATACAAGTAAATCAACATATATTCACAAGTCAAACAGAAAAGCAGAAAAGATGTAACATCCCAACTGCAAGACTGTGATTACTGACACACAAGTCAAACAATGTGTTTCCTGCAGCAAACAGGGTCCACCTGCTGACTTCTAACTGGTACAAAGAAACCTTAGCAGTTTCCCATCTGCATCATGGTTCCACATGGAAACAGAAAGAAACATGACTGAGTCTCCACAAGGATGAGTGCAGAAACCATGGAGACCAACTAAAACAAAGTGGAACACAGCTAATACCTAAAGGGGGCAACTCTTTTACAAACCCGTTGTAAAATAAACAAATGGCTCCAGACTGGACACAGAAATCACTTTGTATCTCTGCTCAGACAGAAGGAAACATGTCAGCAAAACTGAGTGAATAAACTCTTTACATGGACATTTACAAAACTAATCCTGGTCCTCAAGGGACACAGTCCTGCACGTCAGTTGTTTCCCTGCTCTTCAGCAGGCCCTCCAGTCCTTCAGAAGCCTGTTAATTACTCGTTCTTTCATTCAAATCAGCAGAGAAATGTTGAAATTTTGGATGTTTCCTTTAGTATAAATTAGAGCCCGACCGATATATCATTAGGGCTGATAATTTAGGCTGACATAGACGTCTGGGGATCTATCGTTTTTTGTGATAATTGTCACATTATGTGCCGATATGAACACTTCTTATTTTCACCACTTACTGTACAATGTATCCAGCAGAGGGCGCATGAAGTCTACTTTCAAGTCCTGGCCGTTCACTTAAGTTTCATTTTCAGCACAAACAAGCAGAGAGCAATACTGTGTAGTGTATTTTAGAATTGCATTCGGACCCAAAAAAATCCAATCCGACCTGGGCCCAGCCTGTAGCCATCATTTCCGAACCCCACCTGACCCAACGAATTAACAGTAATTACAGGTCCGAACCCGAACACCCTCCCCCCCAACATTTTTAATTAAGCTTTGACTGCTTATATAGTTATTAACGGTCGGCAGATGCACACGGCTGAATAAAATGGTGAAGAAGATCAGAGCTGAGGGGGTGTTTGTCCTTTCATGGCCATCAAAGCGCATTAAATCCCTGCTTCTGCCTGCATTCTGGATTATTCAGACACGGACCCTGCTCTGATGTCTGCAAGGAGATTTTGGGAACTCACCCGTTAGGGATGTCGGGCACTATGCTGAATGCAGCTGCTGAA